CCTTGTGGAAAGAGGCGGGCAGTAAGTGTTGGGGTTGGGGGTTGGTTTGGTTGTTAACAATTTTTCTCATAATATTTTTTTTAATATCATTCTAATTAGCATACAGAAAGGCATCTTTCCTTCCTGGCTGTGTTAAAAAAAAAAAAGTCCTTGAAAATATCCCTGCTCATGTAGTTGGTTTACACTTTGTCCTCTGTCCCAGTTAAAATCCTGGCAAAATGTTTGAGGTTTAATCCTCAATATCCGTTTTAATCCTTTATACCCTTTCACTGCTAGGATACCAGGCTTGCATAAAGTCTTGTGAAATGTTTGAATATATTCCAAAAGGCTGTGGGATGGGGTTTTTTTTTTAGATAAAATCTTTGTAATAAAATGATGTACTGTGACTCGTCTGAAATATTGGTGAACCCTCTAACACAAAATTTTAATTTCGAATATTCAGGGAATAGGTTTCTTTTAAACCCTCTGTTAAGAAGAGAGAGACAGTATTATTGAAACTGGAATTCACATTTTGAGGAGTAGTGTTACTGATCAGGGGTAGGAGATGATTATGTCAGAAACACCATTTTGGTTGGCTGAGATGATAGAGGTGGTCTCGGAGGGATGCAGTGGTAGTGCCACTGTGCAAATAAGAAATATTTGCAAATAAGAAAGTCCTAAAAATAAGAAGAAGCTGCCAAAATCTGTGTCTTAACTGTATATGAATTATCACTTGAATTTTAGATTGGAAGAGGAAGAGAAACTACTAAATGCTGAGAGTTATTATAAAAAAGCCTTAAGTTTGGATGAGACTTTTCAGGAAGCAGAAGAGGCCTTAACAAAACTCCGTAAGCACATCCAGGTGATTCTTTACTTTCTTTTCATATGGTGCTCTCAGTAACAATAAGTGAACATCAAAAATCATATTAATCTTTTGAACAGGGAGGGTTTTTTTAAGTTGATGGTTTGTCTTACTCTCTGCTTCCCTACTCCACAGTAAATCTTTTCTAGTGAGCATTATGGCTGTACCTACCAGAAGAAAGGTACCTCTTGGTGACTCCACTGTTTTGAAAAGGATAGTAGAGAAATGCCAGACAGTGGAGACAGGGAAACAGCAAAGCAGGGATAAGAATATCCCATCACACAAGCATGATTAATGCTGTTAACTTAAAACGTTCCGTGAATACAAAGATACAAAGTGTAAAACACTTCTGCAAGCCAAATTAACATTGTCACTATATAGTGACAGATCCTTGTCCCTGGCCAGATCCTGGGCCTTTGGGTAATTACAGAAAGATAGAGTAACATCAGGCAAAGTTAAGGCATGGGGAGATCACAGGAGAAGGGAAATTGAGGGGTAATTTAAAGGCAAACAGCAGGAGGTGGAGGGTGGGCGGGCAGACAGTTTGAATATCTCAGCTTTCTCCTCTGCTGTCTGGTGGTTTTTTCCTCTCTTCCCTTGCACGCAGCACGTTTCCCAGGTGAGCCTGGTGGGTCTCTGTGCTAATCTGAGTTGTCATCTTTTGTCTTTCGTTCACCTCCTTTGCTTGTGTTGTCTTCCACAGCAGGTCAAAGAGTAAAACAGAGCACTGAGGAACAGGCTTGTTTTGTTCTGTGCTTCTGCATGTGAGGATGTACATAGGCTGGGGTAGATGGCCTTAGTCAGCATTTCTTCAGTTGGTGGAGCCATAATGCTGACAGGTTGTGTGGAAACAAGGGGGAAGAGGAGACAGGACAATCTTCTTAATAAAATTGAACTACACCATAGATAAACAGGTGTATGGTATTTGAGCAGTATCTGCATTTGGCTGCTTTAGAAAGAGGTGTCAGTTAAAATGATGGAGATAAATTTTTCTCCTTTAACACTTTCCTATGGTCATTGCTGCAGCAAAGAACACGATAGCTGTTGGTTGTTGGTGTGCATGGCCTTGGCTGCAACAAAGGGTTTCCTTTATTACAGCTGTTAGCACAGTTGCTAAGTTTTGAAAACTCTAATCAGACTTTCTGCTCACTCTGAATCTGAATAGAGCTGCTCTGTAGGGCTGTAGGTGGCAGAAGTCTGATCTCTTAGAGAGTTAAGTAGTCTAAGGATTATTTATCTGGTGAGATGCTCTTCTGCATTTACCTGTAACTTACGTATTAAGTCTGATCCTGTCCCTGCTGTGCTAGAAGGGCTGAAATGGTGCTGGAGTGTGTTTTCCTGTAATACTGATGATGTGTTTTTCTCCAATGCATTTTCCTCTGAACGGGACCGTTGTTGCTGTGTCTGACGTCTGGTGCTGCTCGTCACCACCAAACCCCTGGATCGTGATTTCTTACGTAAACTCTGCGTCAAACCGGTCTGTGAAATGGTTACAAACGGTTTGTATTCAAACGTGGCCATCTTGAATTCATCTGAAACTGGGTTCTACCGTGTTTTACTTGTAAACTGCAATAATGATACTTTCCCTCAAACTTTTGTCTCTATTTTGGTTTGGTTTTGGTTGTTTGGTTTTTTTCCTTATTTTCTATATGTTGGTAATATTGGGGATTTTTTGCATGTTCTACTTATAACTTTTGGGCTCTGTGTTTCACGGTGTGCTGGATCACGGGTACCACTGCAATGACTGGTCAAATATATTTTTTAATGGAATAAAAACTGCAATATGGTCCTTAAATATAAACCTGACTATCACAATGGCCAATACCAAACTCCTGAACAAAATTAATTTTTGGTCTGGGAATACTGGTAAAACATCCCTGGTGTAATTATACATTTGAATGGGGTTGAATGGGGGAAAATACCCATGTTAACACTACTAATGTGATCTTTTTTATGATGCTTGGGTTCAAAAAAGAAATCTTTGGAAATGAGGGAGAAACAAGCTGCCAAAGAAGAGAGACAGAAAGCAAAGAAAGTAGAAACAAGTGCAGAAAAATTGCGTAAGCTCTTAAAAGAAGAAAAAAGGTAACTCTTATATTCAGGGTATTGGTTATGGGGCAGTAAGTGCAGACAAGACCGTGAACAATCCATTCCAGACAGATTGTCCAGCAGTAAACTAGGGAGAATTTCTCCCTGGGTAAGCTGCTTTTCCTCCAGAATGTTTTTGTGGACAGTGTCCTTTAGTGCATATAACTTTTAATAGAGATGCATGTGGAAGAGTTGTTGGAATACTTTGCAAGGTGACATATTTCCAAAGTGTAATGCCATGTGTAATTGGGAAAGATGCCCTTTATAACAAACTGTTCAGTGGATTTAATCTTAATTTTTTGATGAAGAAATGACATTTGGAATTGTCTTGCCAGGTCAGGCTCAGTTTCCATTCACACCTTACAGTCCAAACTGGGGTATACAGACTTGCTTTCTGCATGTAATTTTTGCCTGATACTGAAGATTATCTCACGGGTTAATTACATTTTTTTAGGTTGAAGAAGAAAAGGAAAGTATCGACTTCCTCCTCCTCCTCTTCTTCATCCTCCTCCTCCTCATCATCATCATCAAGTGATTCATCATCAGATGAATCAGTGTCGTCTTCCTCCTCTTCCTCTGATCACAAGAAACGTAGGAAAAAGCGTCGGCATAGATCTGAGTCTGCTCGCAGCTCCAAAAAAAGCTCATCTAGAGCTTCTTCCCATTATAAAGATCAGAATAGGAAAGAGGAGTGGTATTCCCCTCCGGCTGATACCTCTGCTTCTTTTCTTAACCAAAATTTTGAAGTGGAAAAGCTGCTGGAAAGGCAGGACAGCTTAGCGTGTCCAAAAATGGAGGTAAAAGAGAAAGACAGACACTGTTCTTTGTCGAGGACTTCAGGTGATGATGAAGACACTTTTGGAGGTAGGTCTGAAGATTCAAGAGATTCTTACAGTAGCTCTAGAAGTCAGCCAAGTCATAGCAGAACTGAAAAATATGGTAAACCAGAGAGATTTTTCTCCAGTTGGAGGGGTTCTTCAGGTTCGTATCATAAATCATATGATAAACCGTGGATGCATTATCACAGGAGATCAGAAAGGGATATAGAGGGGAGAAGAGAGCAGTTTAGAAGACATGGCTCAGGTCAAGACAGGTATTACACGTCTCCATCAGGGTCTGACTATTCTGGCAAGTCGTGGGGGAAGTACAGGTCATACTCTAGCACCTGCTCACGTGAAGGTGACAAAGGTTATGATAGTGACAGGCATGTGTCAGGTCAGTATAAAAATGAAAGCGAGTCTAAGAATAGGAAAAGAAGTTCTGAAGAGACTGATAAAACAAAAGAACCGGATGAGGAAATGTCTTTAAATGGTACAGAACAAGCAGAAAGTGGCACTAAAAGAAACCTGCCCCAGAACTTAGTTAACATATTCAATCAAATAGCTGAGTTTGAGAGGGAAAAAGGAAGTAAGCAGAAGAAACAGTGAAGTACCCTGAAACACACTATTTGGATGAGTGTAGTTAAATGAACCTTTATCTTGTGAGGATATCTTGTGAGGAAATGCACATAAAGAGTGACAGAAGGGTGGGATTTTTTCTGTATTGCAGGATGTCAAAAAATTCTGAAAGATTATGTGGTGGAAAGAGATGGAAAGATATCTTACATAAAATAGCAGTTATTATTTAAGTTTCCTATGCTCTCAATTTGAGGTGTTCCTGTACAATATTCTGTCTGATGGGCTGAAATCCTTTGATACCCCTGGATATAGTTAGCTGTGACTTGCATCAAATAAGCACTTTAACAACAGATGGGTTTGATTTGGTTTGGTTTTTCTTGTCCCTGGGGTACTACTGACTGTTGATATTTTTCTATCAAACTTCCAGCTATAGAAAAGGGATAACTGAATGAAGTCATGTGCCATCACAATGTATATAGTTCATTTGATCATTAAATTTTCTTAATTTTTCTTTTGTGTCTGGGTTTTTGTTAATGTTGCTGGGATGTTTCATACTGGTCACTGGTGCAATTCAGTGGAAACCTCCCGTGTCTGTGAAGGCAAGTGTGTTACATTCTTTAAATATATCAAATGTTCTCTAGGAGTAATGTAAAAAAACCTAACTGAAGTAGAAGAGAGGTTTTATACCAGTGTTTATTGTCTAGGCAAGTTTAAGTATGAACCTTTGGTTTTGAGCATTGTTGTTGGGATTTGCTTTACAAGCAGCCTGAAGGCAGTGGTTGTGTTACTGAAGGAGGTAACGCTGTCCCCAGTGAGATCTGTCAAGGTGGGTGTCAGAACCACACTAAGGAGCAAATACCTGTCGGCGCACACAATGACAATTGTACTTCTGCTGCAAGTGTTCCAGGTAACTCCATGGGTATAGGTCAGTTGCAAAAATTAAGGAATCTCAACTAGATGACCTTAGAACTTCTTTTTGCCTTTAAAAATACTGGAGGTGCTGCCTCTGCTGGCTGGCTGTGAGCCAGCAGCTGCTGCTTCCTCAGGAGTGGGGAGAGGCAAGGTCAGCTCAACAACTTTGAGGGATGAAGCCTGACTAGAGACTGAACTTGTTCTTCTGAAGGATCTGAAAGACAAAAATTTACTCATCAAGATACAGAAATTCCTTTATCTAAAACAGAGCTGCCAAGGGTGGCTCACAAAGCAGCCACCCAGCAGCTGTGTTCTTTCCAGCTTAGATCCCCTGCAGAGATCTCACTAGTGGCTTCAGTAACCTCTGGGAATTTTAGACCATAATTGGTCGCTGTGGCACAGGCACTATGTGAGCATACCTTGGACAGGGGAAGAAGATATCAGTAAAAGCATATATATTTTCTCTATTTAATCAGGAAGGGGAGTTCACACTACCAAGTGTAAAATGTGGCTCAAAGTTGTGCTTTTATATTGTAAAAACACTTTTTAAATAGAGCACAGTTAGGAAATGTAAGTGCAATTATTCTGTAATTACAGTTTTATTTTAAACTGATGGATGCTGAAGTAAACTTCATCATATGCTAGAAAAATCTGGTAAACTTAAAAGGACAGTGTAAGAAGAAAGTTTTTATAGTCCTCAGAAAGTAGAGATGATTGAGAAGACCTTTGGGAGTGAAAAATTCTGTCAGTTAGGGAATGATTTTGCTGGTTTAAACTTTTATCTGAAAAAAGTCAAACCAACCCAACAATGCTAGTACTTACCTGGTAGTATGTCGTGTGGATTGAGAACTCTGACTACCATCAGCAGAAGCAGTAGGAAGCTCTAAATTGGACTAGAAAATTTGGAAAGAAAAAACAAGTTGAAGTGGTGGTTGTATAATAGGACTGGGATATCAGGAGGGTTTATAGTGCTGGGTATTTGCAGAGCTGTGGAAAAGGGATGAACACTGTCCTGTTTTACTGTAAGTATATTGTTGAAGTTAGGAGTTACCCTTAAAGAAGCTCAGCAGTAGGCTGGAGCTCTCACTCAAGATTTTGATGGCAGTTAACTGGAAAGCTCACCTGGTTAAAGTACATTTGAAAGGTTGCAGTTAAACCAGGATTTGTTTCTAGAATATCAACTATCACTTGGTTGACGGTTCTGTTGAAGCTTTTCAATTCACGAAGATCAATGTCTCTCTCTTCCTCTGTTTTTGGTCCCTTTTGCCTCAGAGACTGAATTTCTCTGGATAGTCTGGAACACTTAACACAAATATTTTTAAACCATTGCTCTTATGAAAATACAACACTGTTTCAGAACCCTGCTAAGTTAAAACCAGAGTTTAACCCACACTGCTGTCTATCACTACAAAGGTAGAAGTTGTCAGTAAATATACAAACCTGTTTTATAACCCTTTCTAGTTTTGGCTTCTGTTCTTCAATTTCCTTGTTCAGCTGCAGAATTATATCTTGTTTTTCCTCCTTTTGCTCTTGGAAGAGGGCTTTCTGCTTCTCTGCTACCTCAAGGTATTGTTCCATGCTCTGCAAATTCATTTGAATGGCAGTGTTAGTTTATAAAGCAGTTTTGGTATCCTTTCACTTTTTGTATTTCTTTGTGGAAGGGTTTGTTGTCATTACTACTTGTTTCTAGATGTAGCTCAAGCAATTAGTGCTATTGATAACTCAAAACTTTGTTTAGTGGACACAGACCTGGATAAAGGAATTTACATATCTTTTAAAAAATTACTTTAAAGGTACTGTTAGTGAAGTTACAGGTATGTGTTTTCAGATGTGCTTCTGAACAGTGTCTACAGATTATTTACTTGGCACACCACCAATTTACTAGTGCGAACTATCCTAAGAAACCCCAACATAGTTTCCTGTGGAAAGAGATGGATACCTTTCACTGGAATGAATAAAATCAGCTCCATAAGGGCAGCTCTGTTTTTGTGGGGTTTTTTTAAATAAATAAATAAAAAGGCAGGAAAGGGTGTGCTGTAACACCTCATTATGTCCCAGCGTTTACTCCCTGATGAAGATCTCTGTCCCTTTACCTTAAGAAATAACATCTCTGAAAGAAGAGATATGTCCTGCTTTGGTGGAATAAGCAATAGGAACTTTTGTTGTCTCAGGGCTTAGAACAATAGTGCATGTGGCAGTGTTCCTCAATTTCTTCTGCCTAAAAAAGTTCTAACTGAAACGTCACACATCAGAATTAAGTGTTGCTCTTTCTTAAGGTCCAAGTGGCTTTTCAATAACCAGGGGAACCAAGAATGAGTCCTTGCTGTGTAGCCTGAACACAAGTTCTCCTTTCCCTGTGTTTAGTGCTCAGCCTGCTACGTTACGAGTCAGCTAAATTAATTCTGTTTAAACTGAAGCACCCTCAGTGCTAATAAAACTGAATCTGTTCCAGAAAAATCGTGGGACATAGATGCCAGAGGACACAAGATGTGTGCATTGATGCAATAGTGGCGTGTGCTGAACACGAATGCAGCTGCTTTAGTGGCTGCCAGAACAGCATCTGTCAGTGCATTCTGGACTCTGAAACTTCTAGCTGTAGGTGTGACTTAAAACCTCAAGTTTTTTTGTGATTCAACAAATTCAAGTAAGCACTCAAATATAAAAGACCAGACAAAAATTTGTACCACAATTTCCTAATCTTCCTCTAGGATGGCTTGCATGGGTTTAGCTACGTGCTGCAGTCTTGTCTTTGACTAGAACTTTTATTTTACCTGGAGATTTTCCTGAAGTTCCTTGATCTGTCTTCTTTTGCATTTGTATGTTTCATCAGCAACCCTTTTCTCCTCCTCTAGTTTCAGTCTTTCCTCACGTTCCTCACCTGTGATCCCAAACAATGAGGCAGCATTATTGCTGTGTATACAACTGTATTTTCACTTGAAAATAAGTTGGACCTTAAAGAAACTGCATCACAGAGTATTACTATATTGGTATTGATGGTATTTCAGCAACTTCAAGATTTGTGGGTTTTTTAAATACTCTCCTACTAATTCCAGATTACTTTGAAAAAGTAACTAGCTTCATGAGGGAAAATGATTTAAAAGCTACTGGTTCCAGAGCCAGTAGAGGGCACAAAAGTTAAACTTAATTCTAGATAATACTTATTATTTATGTAATTTCTCATAGTGATGGTTTTTAGACACTAAACAAAAAGTTCCACTGTGACAGACAGCAAGGTTACGAAGCCTAAGTGGCAGTGCAGTTATCCACTAGGCCCACGCACCCCAATGGACACCATTCCTCCCAGTAATGATCCCCCAGGAATCATCTTTATGCTTTGCCTCTCCCATCTGTTCCTACTTACGACTATTCACAAAGTGTGTACAGGCTTAGAGATTTTCACACAAATCTGAGAGAACAACATAAATCTTAGTTAATTACACCTTACTACACTTTCTTCTGCACTTGTTCTGCTGAGCTATTCACAGCAGCATGGGAATTACACTCCCTTTTGCTACTCTCAGTTTAGTCTCTCTGATTCATTCTTTTGTGCCATGGAATTTCCCCACTACATACCCGAGCTGTGTGATCATCACCAGCCCCCACAGCAAACAGCAATTCCTATTTTACATACTTGTCTCAGTGACTTCCTTGAAAGTGTTTCGGAAGTTGCTGTTGCAGCTATTAAGAACACACAAAGTGTTTTCCAGAGCTATGATTTCTTTTTCAGCTTTGCAGATCTTTGCTTCTAAATCATCACCTTCTTGTTGAAGTGCTTGCTTTTCTTGTGCAGCCTGAAAGCAAAACAGGTCTTTTAGGTGCCTGCACATTTACTGAAAGTATTAGGATCATTATAGAGAAAAAAATACCAGCCAGGGGTTTAAGTCGCTTGAACTGAGATTTGAGTGAGTAGGGGACTGGGAGGACTAGTTATTTACAGTACTGGAAGTTCTTTGAGGTATTTAAACCATGTGCCTTTCATGATGGATATCTGGCTCTCCAGCTAAGCCCTCCACGTCCTGCCCAGCAGCAGCCACAGTGTATGGAGCAATGTCCATGCCCTGCACTGCTGACTTGAACTGCAGCACATGCTTCACATCTGCTTCCTTCACCCACAAAATACAAGTAAGAGTTGAGATTGTACATTATATAAAACCACAGAGAGACTGTTAGAAGTCATCCAATTTAGGAATTACTTGTAACTCTTCATTTACCTGACCAGTGAGATTTAAGAAACAGCCAACAAGTGAAATATTTTCTATTCCCTCAGAAAATATGACACTGAGAAAAATCTCTGTAGGTGTGGAGGGTATTTTACACACCCACAGTGACCACATGGGTTCTGCTGAGGGTCTTCTGCTGTTCTGGATCTCGCAGTAGCAGAAATACTATCATTAAGAAATTTAACACTTCAGAATATGAAAAATATGAACTTCAGAGCCAAGTTCACAGCTGGAAGCATTTTGTCTTAACAAGATATCAGAGAATTTGTGGAGATCAAAAATAATAGATTCCTGTTCCAGAACAAGGGTATTGCATTATGGATAAAGACTGATTTTTTTTTTCCAGTTAAAAGCTGAAGTATGCATAAATGATTGGTAAGTGAAAGGAGAAAGCTGACATTCTTCAAGGTGCAAACACCATGTGATAAATACCTAGAAATAACTCCGACAAGTAGAATTTAAGATCATGGGAGACTGTGATAAACTAGTGTTCAGTTCATAGGATTGCCACTTGGCAAGTAATTGTTGTGTTGTAAATTAGTGAGCACTGAAGTGAAATGTTCAAACTGCTCAAAATTAAGGCTCCGCAGAGATTCATGTGAAATGGCTGTATCATTTAAATAACTAACGTCAGATAACATAAAACAATTAGACTCAAAGTAAGCAGTAAGCAGAGATTGCCTTAGTTACTTGAATAGAGCTGAGGGAAATCTATAGCTTAGATACTTGAATTAAAGTGAAATATGTTAAGAAAATACCTTAATCACATAGTAGGCTTGACTTTTCTGCTCCTCTCCTTCAGGGGGCATCATGGCAAGAGTAAAAATTTCATATCTGCGTCTCAGTTTGTCAATTTTACTTAGGCATTCTTGAAATTCAGCACTGATTTGTTTTGGGAGAAAAGAAATGGATTGAGAAAGTGTTTGTCTGGTAGCGTTTTGTGGGCAGTTCTTGCTGTGGCAGTTTAAATTCCTGGTGTTATTCCAGCAGCCTGTAGCAGGAGGCAGGCAGGGCAGCAGTTGTGCTGCTGCTGGTCTTGGTTGCTTTCTGTGTTCTCCCAGCCACAGACATCCATTGTTCTGGTTACCTACACTGAGTCAAATCTGTTTTGACATTCCAGATCACTGCATCCTGGGAGGCTGTGCCACAGTCCTTCCCAAAATTTACAGATTTGGCATTTCAGTCCTTCAGCTGCCCCTGCTGATGGTATCTTAACATTGCCACTGCTGGATGAGCACAAGCAACAGCAGAGGATGACCCCAAATCAAATTACATGAAAGTATCAATTAGCTGGGTAATTACCAAAGGAAGAAAGGCACAGTCTGCACTCTTGGTGAGCAGTTAAGCCTCAGTCACTCTAAATCACTCTAATTTCCCATTGTGTGGGGTGTGGTTAGCAGGGCAGTTCAGCCCCTGGAATGTTCATTTTTGGCTGGATATTTCATTGGGATTTCAGGGCTAAAGCTTTCCCAGATACTTTGCACTGGTTATTACAGGAGGGAAAAGTTATTTTATAAGAGGGTACATATGTAATTCGGAAGATTTATTATGTTATACATTATGTTTCCATATAATGGAAAGCTCATTAGTTAAAAAGAAGAAAAAAATGCATCCAAATAAAACATATCACAAACCTAATCACCAAGGGGCTAAAAAGCTGCAGCTGGATGTCAGAGAATGGATCTCTTGCTGGCCTCTCCTATCTTAGTGTATATAGCTTTGAGCAAGATTGATTTATTCTTCAATTTCTCTATGGGCGAAACTGGGTAAAATGTTTTTTTTTTCACTAAGTCCCCATATAAAATGTACTCAAAGCTACAGGTTTGATTTATATCAGCACAGTTACCTTCTGCGTTGCCGTTCCTGCTCCACGAGTCTTATCTGGGAATCCAGCATTGCCTTATGGATCTTAATTTCCTCACTTCTTTCTGCTATGGCTTTATTTAACTCCAGTCTTTGTTTTTCCATTGATAGAACTTTCTCTGTCTTATTACACAGAGTATCTTTAAGGCGCTTCAGTTCTAGTTTTAAGAGATTATTGTCCACCATCATGTCCTAATAAATGCCAAAAAGGTACCAAAATTAAGATTATTTATAATTTATTAAATCAATTCTTTTTTCATTATTTTACCTTTAATATATATATAACTGTAAGACTCATTTTGCCCTGCATTTCAAAATGTTGTCATTTTCTTATTTGCCAACAGTTTACATGGTGAGTGTGACAGGGGTAGATTGTTTCCTGATTGGTTTTATACAAATTCATCAGGCTTGCTAATTCACTCTGAGTTTTGGGTTGTTAGACTTTTCCATCTACAACTTTTTCAGTTTAGGTGGTTTCAAATAAATTAGGAGACCTTACAAGGAATTTTCTGAAGCAGTCAATATCTTTCTTGAACCATTAAAAGTGTCTGGGAATATGTTCCAGATCCTGTAGGTCTGCAAGTCATGTTACATGAGCAAACTTTTTATACACCAAATCTTGTGAAAAGTAGCAAGTGGCGAACTTCCTTAGCATGCAAACACTTGGAATCATTTTCTTCAAATCTCTTATGGATCCCAAACTCTGTACCAATTTTTATCTGAGTTGTTTTAGGCCATCAGCTTCTTTCTTTTGTTCCCCTGAATTTCATCCCCAAAGAAAAGCACCAGTTAAGTTGACAGCAAAACTCTTTCCCCTGCTACTCAGACTGTCTTTCGTTCTGCTGTGTCAGTGCTTCCTTGAGGAACTAAAGCTTATTGCAGGAAAAAAAGTGCAATAATTAGAGGAGTGGGAACCATATTTTTCATTTATTAAATGGGGAGAAGGACTTCCATTTTGTTTCTAACTCCTTATATTGGAATGTGGATTGATCCAAACCATCTGCTAGAAAAAAAACCTCACAATTTAATAACAAAACTGTGCCAAACATATTAGTAGGCATCAGAGATTGAGAAAAAACACTCAGTGCTAGATAGAGACATCCTTGAACAGTAAATGCATTTTCTATTTTAAAGGTAATTGCTTCTCAGAAAAAAACCAACCATCCACTGATACTGTGGTATAACTAATGTGGGATTAAATTGATACCTCATCAAACTTTATGCTGTATAAAGAGGAGAAGCAACGCTTTGCCTAGTAAGATAATAGTGATGAAGCTGAAAGTTTGGTAAATTAGAAAAACTAAAAAAAGATTTTTATGGATATAATGATGTAGCACTGTGGGAGGCAGACAACAGCCCAAACAAACAGACATGTCCTGTATTAGTAAAGTTGTGGAATAATACTGTACCTGCTTAAGGGCCTTAGCTTTTTTTAAATCCTGAATTGATCTCTCATTGTAAAGATTTAGTTCATCTATCTTCACCACCAAAGCACTTGTTTGTTCTCCTGTCTTGTGAATTGTTCTCCTCACGAACTGGACGTCATTCTGTGAACGTAAATTGCAACAAAAGCTACCAGTTAAATTAAATGAGATAATTTTAAGTTCTGGAACCAGGAACCATTGTCATCATGTGTCCATATGCTGCTCTGCAAACTGCATGGCACGTCCTCAGGCAGAGTGCTGTTGCAATACTAATGTCATTGCTTGTTTTATTTGGAGTGTAGTAGTTGTTATTTATCCAATATAAATTGTTCAGCCAATGAGGCAATTCTAATATAATCATGTATTTTATTCTAGATAAAAAAAATCTCCTGGCATGTCTGACTATGACTTTGATATCTATAGTTCATTTTCATAAAACCATCTGTCTTTGATAATACTCCAGAGCATGGATAAATTCCTGGAGGGGGGTTTCAAGGTTTGATTGTGCTCACTGCTCAATTTCCCATCTCTTCAAAATTCAGGTGTGGGCACTAGTTGCCCAACATTAACTGGAGATTCATGCAATGACAAGATTTAAAGGGCTCTCCTATAAGTAGTTTCTTCCCCTCACTAAGTCAAATTCTTTCTCAACTATCACTTTGAGAAACCAGTTGTTATGTTTTATTAAAAAAACTGACTCTTTCTCTGGCTTCTCTTTGAAAAGAGTTTTCTAAATTTGTTAAAATATAGCTGATTAATACACAAAGACAATACTTATAAAAAGAAATTATAAACTGGCTACAGAATAACTGGTTGGTTTTTCTCTACAAGAAAGGTAAGTGCATTTTTAAAGAATTAATGATGAAATAGGAAAACCAGAGGACAAGCATGTATATGCAAAATTCTCACAAGGGAATAAAACCAGCAAAACAGTATTTCTGAATTATGGATCAGGATGGGATCAACTGTCCCTGCAATTCAGTAATGTGACTTTGGACAACTTTAAATGCAACTGTACTTATGAATTTACGAAAAATATAAAAGTAACAGCTTCACAGAATAGCATTCTCCTATTTCTGCAAGGTCCTAACAATAAACTCAGACATTTGCAAGCAGTCAGTAAGACCTTGATGAAAGCCAAGCTTGTCTTTCCAACATTGCAATGCTGGTCTTCATGCTCAGGTGTCTCACTTGGGCAGTAATAACCTATTTTTCTGGGTATAGGGAATACATGAAGTTCTCCACGTAAGTTACATAAAGTTCAGATGCCTTTTAATCTAATACCATGTTATTGATAAGACCCAATCTCCTTAATTCCCTGAGGTTTCTGGATGTTGCACAGTCAACCTGATGTGCCAGAGAAGTCACCTGAAGTTTCCTGTACTGAGCCTGTAGAACATCATAGGCATTTTTCTTTTCTTCTAGGGTTTTCTTAAGTTCAGCAACTTTTGCTTCCAGAATTTCTTTTTCATCTGAATTAACCTCCCCTTCTAACCGTGACAGTCGTCTCTGTATTCGCTGAATAAAAAAATCCTGTTAAAATAAATTTTAAGAGAATTAATAGTATGAGATAAGCAATAAACTTGGATCTAAACGTTGGCTTTAGGACAGTCACCCAATTAAACTATTGTTTTTATAATCATTTCTGGCTTATAGACCTCATTAGCAAAGTATCTTAGATGACTGATGAGCAGTGATGGTTCAGGGGTAATCTTCTAGAAGAGTAACAAAGCACACTCAGCACAGGCTGCTGTAGGGAGGCTTACAGGAGAGTTGCCATCTTGCTGTTACCAGTGGATGCTGATATAAAAGAGCAAATTTTCAAAGTGGTGCATAGGAAATATGCACATAATCCAATTAGTAAATAACAGGATTTTGGCATGTACCTCTTGTATTGCTTAAAAAATACACCCTGAGGTGTCTGTGGTTCAGAGGGATCAAAGTAAAGAATGGATTTCAGAAATTAGTGGGAAAAGCAGCAAATGCAAAAAAATAATGAAATACACAAGTGCAAAATGTAGGTGATACTTTAGCAAGTTTCAGTAATTTCAATTTTATCTCTACATCTAGAGGCAGAAATAAATGCAGACTTTATAATAAATTGTACTGCATGGCATTTCCAAAATGGAAAGATGTTATAGATTACAGAATTTAAGCAACTTCCTATCAGTAGACTCAAGAAACCATCATAGTATGAAAGTACATTAATATTTTACCTGGTTATATATTAATTCCTGTTGTTTAAACAGTTCTGCATCAAGCCTGTGCAGTCGACACTGGAGATTTCTAAGTGATTTTTGAGCTCCCTCAATTTCTGATAGAGCAACTTTCTCCTTATCCTTCTCCACTTTTAACTCTTGATTCTTCTTGAAAAGTAGTTCCTTTAACTGTCTCATTTCATTTTCTTTTTCCTGGTAACAAATTGATCGTTAAGCAGAAAGAAGTAATTAATCACATCAGAAGTAATTTCTGGGAAATTACTTGCTTTTATTAGTCATAAACAGGAAAATTAAAAATTTTAATACTATACCCATTAATATGAACATAGAATTTCACAGGTCTTCAAAATGGTTGGCAAGAAGAGTATTTGACTTGAAGTAATATTTTTTATTTATTTTTTTAAATCTAATCCTACCGTATTATTATACGACTTTTTTCCCAATTATGGGAATGCTAGTCTTTTCAGCCTTCCAGAAATCTAAATTCCTCTCATCTTTTTTAAAAAAAACAACTCCTTATTGCCTCCAGCATATGTGAATATTTGGAGAAATTATTACAAAGGTTTTCAATGGTTTATTAAAACTTGTAACTGTGTGTACATGTGTGTTTGTATCAGCTGGAATAATTCTGTTTGAAAAATTACACATTTTAAAATCCCTTCCTTATTCCCAGAGGTAAGTTGCCATTAACACCTAAATCAGTGCAGGAAATGAGGTTAGTAGGGTCTGTTACAGGAAGACAATGCTGAACACTTCAGGTAACCTGAAATGTACTGAAAACCAACAAAATTGAGATTATTTTTTTTTATAAGCCTAACAAGGAAGACAATTTTATTCTTTTCTTCCCTCTTTCCCCAACTGAAATAACCAAAGACTATCCAAAGCTCAAGCCAGTTTCCTGTAAGGTACATCCTAAAATGAGTGATGTGACTTCCCATTCCTGTTCCAAAGGACTCATTTACATTTAGCTCAAGTCTGGTACAGAATTTGAAGATGTGCATTTCAATTAATATGCAAAACACCTGAGAACAGACTTTTCTATGTTGATTAACAATGTGTTTATTCTTGATTTAATATGTATACAACCATCTTGCTGGCTTAAATATTGGTGAAAGATAAATCAGCTCCTTCTCTAAGAGTTCACAGTCCACATTCTACCAAACAGAATTTTTTTGTTGTTGACTTGCTGTAAGTGCAATTCCAAATCCAAAACTCAGGACATAAAAGGCAACTGTAAATTTAATATGAAATTGGTATGGACTATAGCACATGTCAGTGGTCTTTGGATCATGTCTGAACAAAGGAATTTAATTTTGGAATCAAACTGGTTTCTAAGCATGTGCCCAGTGCTGAGCTGTATTTCTGAAGCTAATGGCAATGATGAATTCATCCACTGTCATTGGATCTTGATTTGACCTTCACTTTGTGGTTTTTTGTGCATACCTAAATTAATTTATTTAACAGAATTGTTTCTCTCTCTTTAAGTGAGGTTGTTAATAGAGATAAGATGTTCATTAAGCTGCAGTGTGCAACAGTGTTTTGCCAAAAATTGAAGAGGGAGAAGTATCCCAGAACTAGAGCGCAAAATGGGGACATTTCATCCACATTGTTCCTGTAAATATCTCTTCACAGTAAATTAACAGATGCAGCAAATAGTCCTGTGTGTCTAATGGTGATGGAAGGCATGCTTCTGACTAATACTTTGCAGACATTGTTCAAGAACAGTTCATCCTAGCTAAAATATTCCCCTGGAGCTGTGGAGCTGCCAGGCTCAATGTCATGTTGGGTTATCCACCACAGACACAAGTAAAGAAACCCTGCTAAGGGTTTAGCCACCCTGAAAACAGTCTTAAGGGGAAGAAAATAAGGTTTTAATGAAATGTTATACTATTACAACTTGTTTTCAAATTATCTGAAGAGCCAAAACAGTAAGGCCTGTAAAGTAAGAAACTCTCTATAACGGAAAGACATCCTGTCTCTAGTTTCTGAAAGTGTATTTAAAATGTACAGTTAATGCCTGTGGAGTTAAAAACTTTGAAAAATAACATTCAATCTACTGCAAGGCATTATTTCACATACATGCTACAGAAAACACAAAATAAGGGGAAAGAAAAAAGCGTGCAATGGTGTGCACAGATACAGCTTTGTTGTCACGTGTGTGAACACCTGCTGTCACATTAATTTAACCTGGTCATTCTACAGTAATGAAAGCTTCAGCTTATCCAGTGCTCAATTGTCCAGCAAAATACAAAAAATATTTCTCTCATGTTCAGTCAGAAGCTAAATAGTGAAAATACTTTAGGAGAATTAGCAGCACAATGACAAAACAGCATAAGCACTTCCTGAAATGCAGGGAAGTTCAGATGATTGCATTACAACATTGCATTTATTCAAATGCCCTTTGCAGCATTTGATAAAGAATTAGATTATTTTATTCCTAGAATTAATTTGCAACATAATAAGTGGGGTTTGAATTTAAAAGGAAGTATTACTAGACATGTTAAAAAAAGTCACCTTACAGCTTGCACATGTCACTTCCCAGATCAAAATCTTTATACATCATGGAATCTAAAGCAAGCCAGTAATTATTTAATAGGCCACAACAAGTCAGATGTTCCAGAGTGTCATGTAGTAGAATTAAAATAATGAAGAGCAGACTAGGCCAGCCAAATCTGATTAAAAGATTTCTAAATCTTTTTTAATCTGTTCATCAAAATCACAGCTCTTTGCAGGTTTATAAGTTTTGGTGGTGTTCTACTAAAGCTAAGAAGTTTTCAGTGGCAATGCTACTTAAAAGTCATCCTGACAAGATTCTCACTCTTTCACAACCTTATTGATGAGTATCAACATCCTATGTTAATATACTCTTCTAAATTACTAGGATCTGTTATTTTCCTCCAGTTTTCTCAGCACAGATGCTGACATATCTTCGTGCAGATTACTCCAGCATTTGATGAAACAGCTACATGTCATATTAATACTTTCATTTTAATAGAGATAATTTTAAAATAATAGAGTTGCAAATGCAAATGAATCCTCATTTATGGAAACCATGAACAACATGTTACCTCAACAGCTTTCTCTTCTGCTTTCAGTATTTCTTCCATCCTCAAAGCTTTCTCTTCTGAACTGAGTGTCTCCTCAGTCACAAGCTTCAGTTTATCGGAAAGATTTATATTTCCTTCAATAATAAAGTTTAATCTAAACAAAATGACATGATTTAATAAGTTAAATGTAGGTTGCTCATACAACTCAGCCAAAAGCAAGCAGCAAACCTGACTTGAGCAGTTGCCGTATGAAGTGGGCTAAACTTCAATCTATGATATCCAAAGCCCTGATTTTTTCACACCCTTTAAAAACAAGGATTACTTTGAGTATTCCCTAAATTGCCCAGTGCCAGAAACTATGCAGGACATGAAGGACCCAGAAAGTTGGAGGCTTTAATCATCAACATTATCTAAGGTTCTTTGCTACCTCAAGGATTTGATTGTATTACTAATCCTTACAAATGATATTTCTTACCTGGCTTGTTTCTTCTGAATTTCCTTCTTCAGATTGGTTACTTGTATTCTCAAAGACTCTAGATCAGAAGCAGTTCTGTCCACAGTGGATTTCAAAGCTTCCAGCTAATAAATTACAAAATAAAGCAATGGAGCTATTATTTACTTTGGTACATGTCAGGATATTTAAAATTGTAAGGGACTTATTTATTGGTAAGTGTGCCATTAATCTTTAACAGTGCTTTCCAAATGAGAAGTAAGGCACTGTAAACTGACAAAGCTAGTAAACTAATTTACATAGTCTGAATATTGGGAGAAAATGCTTAATAATTACAGCTACAGAATGGATCATGAAGATGCTGTGGCTGCAATGTTTGCCCAACAGCATCTGTACAAGTGCAACCATGGTTTTATAGTGCACAGCTGACTTTGATGAGGTTCTTCATGAAACATGGATACTCTTATATATCTGATAAATACTTCTACATCAAACTTTGTTGGGTACATAAAATTACTTTGATTAAGATAATGGATCACTGTGACAAAAATGCACAGATATTTTATTTGGTAAAAAATACATTACAGTCATTAAACACAACAGGAATACTTTACAATCAGTAGCTTACTCATCTTCAAAGTATCACTTAGCAGCATAAGTGTAATTGTCTTTCACAGATGAAGAAACCTGATCAAGGTCATGTGTAGCAGGTTTCTTAGAGCCAACAAGTTGTTGGCTGAACTGTCTCTTTCTTTCCTTGTTTATCACATGCATGCCACAGATGTTCTAATAATGGGAGACTGTTCTGTTATCCCATTATGGAGTATTAAAGAATCTCACAGTTTGACATGAAAACATACCAATTCTAGGAACCCTCAAGTTAGCATGAATTATAGGGTAATCTAATAGCCTACCCCTTGTTTGAGCTACCTACAGTTTAATTAGGAAATCAATCTATGAACCACCTGCTACAGAAAAGCTATCCAAAGTTAAGGCAATAGCAGATGGAAGGTTTTTAAAAATCACCAAGCTTGCTGAGTAGCCTAGTGTTACCATTTTCTTGTTGAGAGAAAATTTACTCAGGTAATACAAGTCTATCCCTTCTCAACAGAGCCATGAAACTTGAAACTCTTAGAAATACTTCTACAGGCGTGTAAGTCATTAAGCAGTGCAGCTCATTCCCAGCTTTAAGTGCAGAGTAAGCATGGACAATGTCAAACATGGCTTGTTCACAGGGCAGCCCTGTCCTACTGCCTCTTGATTAGAAAGCCACGTGAAAGCATTTGGTGTTTTCCCCAGGAATTTTAACCTCACTACAAGGCTCATCAACTTACAGTTCTGAGAGCACAGGACAGGAATTGTTTGGAATCTGGAGGAAATTTCTCATCTTTATACAATACTGCAGTCTATGTATGCTAAAGCCAGGACACACCTCCTGAGGCATCTAATAGTGTTAGACCATTTAACAGAAAATTCATCCATCTTGCACCAACACAGCAGAGAATACCAGCTAATCTTTTCACCACTCTCAATAAAAGGATTGAGGGTTCAGATCCCAATATCAGGAGTAGGCTGAGTAAAGCAACATTTTGTTGCATTATTAAGAGTCTAGCATAAAACCAGGGAAAAGGAAATGCTACTCCTGTATTTCCTCAATCTGGACCACAGTTAGAGTTTCAGTCTGTTTTTCTGAGCTGTTTGGTCATCCTCACCTCATCCTGCAGACGAACCCTGTTGGCTTCCTGAGTTTGATACTCAATTCGGAGGCTGTTGGCTTTCCGTTCAGCAGAAGAGATTTTCTTTTCATATTCCATATTATTAAGAGTTTCATTTACCAAAAAGGCAGTCTTCTCTTTCAGCACAATTTCTTTCTTTCTGATCTCCTGTTTTATCTCTGCAATTAGCTATCAGGATAAAAGTATTTTATATTTGTTTACATTAGTTAAGATACGTTAGATTAATTAAAGGTACAACCAGAAGACCAATTGCTATTATAACTATTATTTGCATGAGATAGCCCAGTTATCATCCTTCAAATTACTTTATTCCACAGCTCCTTCACAACACCAAATACTACAATTGTTTTGGATTGAAAACTTCCAAAATATTCCAATCATTTCAAAAAAAGTGCCACTATAAACTCAGATGAAAATAATTTTTGATTGATTGAATAGGGGGAAAAAAAGCTAAACAAACATTCAAACAGACTTGAAACAGATGAAATGCAAGAGGAAAATTATCAACAATAGTAACGCTTTCTTTACCTGACAGTTTTATAGCTATTCAGTGAATACTGTGTATTTTGAAAGGTTAAGTAAAAGATTAGCTATTGAGAAAATTATACTGTAGTTCTGATGTTTAAAAAGAAAAAAACCAAACCAAGCAAAATCCAGATATGGATCAGTTACAGCAGTTTTACCAAAGCACAATGATCAATCTGTTGATCTCTTTTTTGCATCTGTTGTATTGCATTCTCCCACTGCCTGATGACTTCTTGCCTTTCTTGATGAACTCGGCGACAATCTTCAGCTGCCCTGTCAAGCTCCATCTGTTTAAAAGAAAGCACCCCCATGATTCCTGGTGTTAAAAATGTCACATATGACCTGGGATCTCCAAGAACCTTAAGCACAAACCTGAGCTGTTAAGGTCTCTGTAAGCTCATTATCAAGAGCTCTGCGCTTCTGATTTGCCTGTATGGTCAACTTTTCTACTTGAAAGGTTAATGCCTGAAAATGAAAGGATATGAAAATATCATGTATTTGAAAGCAAATAGATCACATCTTATAGATTCTTAAAGCCCTGCTACAATTAGGGGTTGAATTACTGAGGCATCAATTTTATTCTGCTTTAGAGAACAAGAAGCTGACAGTCTAGCCTCCCAAATTTTCAGTCATACAAGAGGCCATAATTGTGTCAGCCCTTGGGACCAGACTGCAGCAAGGGCCAAGTAACCCTCCACTGTGTGTAAATGCATATGTGGTGTCCTACTTCACTCTTCCCACTATGCTGTGTGACTGCTACTGTAAATGATAGCAATGAGACTGTTTGGGTAAACTAAAGTTTTTGGGTTAAGTACTTAATGAGTAAAAATCAAATTTCTCCTCACTGTATTTAAAGGCTAAAAAGAATAATAACCCAGGTTACTTATCTCTATATTAATAATATACTTGAGAACTAACCCTGAGAATTTATGATCTTCTGACTGGAATCTCTGTTTATACAGATATATATGTTTATATCTTTCATTATTCCAGGTAGCTTTACTGAAGTAGCTGTACTCTGTTTTCAGCCATATTAACAAATTTGGTTCTAAAGGGGAAACCTACAGTATTCATCCACACTTGGGGTGGATTTTTGATCCAACTCCTCTGAGTTCAGTGGCACCGTTTTCCAGATTTTATTATCTATTTGTGCACCCTCTCAGAAAAATTTAAACTTAAATTTTACCCAGACGAACAAGCAAATTAATGTCTTAAATCATGCTTTCATTGCTGTAAAACCTGTTCTCTCTGATCTTTAAAATGAACCTCATATGGAATTGCACTGTAGTGCTAAATGGAAACCAGTTTAAAAGCACTGTTGTACAAAATCTTGTTTCCATCTTATCTGACTCAATAATATAACAAGGTCTTCAAATGCCCAAATGGTTTTCCATTTAGTTTTCATTTCTACTTACTCCTAGTTTCCCTTCATCTTGCTGTGCATACTTCTGGATTGCAAGAGCATCATTATCTGTACGATTTAATTCCTTTAGCCAGCTCTCCAGGACTTCCTCATCACAGTTCATCTGTTGTTTTAAGTCTTCCAACTTCTGAATTGTTTTACTTATAGTATTCTTATGAAATAAGACAAAATTAAAGGGTCAATTCCAAATGTCTAATATTCATTGAATAGTAATTGAAGCAATCAGTTCAGGCTACTGTAACAAATTTACACACATCTTCTCCATGGAATTGCTAGGTTTTTTATTAATTGTGTGTTATACTTGAGGAATGCTATTGGATGTCCTGCTCTCAAAGAAGAAACAAGAGAGTAAGTTGCCACAAATTTGAAATGCAAATAATTTTAAACAGAAAAGTCAACCTCTGGCAAGTTATACCTATATCCAGGATGTTTATTCCACATAATAAACTGATCTGAGGCATCAAAAGGTAAAGTTCCTCCCTCACATGCTAAGACCAAGCTCTTAGGTCCTTATTCTACATGTCAATTTTCAAATGTCCCCACGTGACTGTGAAGAGACTTCCTGACACAAAAATGGGACAATCTGCACTTCATCCTGCTACCCATTTGGAGAGACCAGAGATTACAAACAGCCTTAATCAGAAGAAATAGAGCAAATTTTTTAAAATAATTTAAATAATTCATAGAAAGAAAAAGAGACATTTCCAATCCCAGAAAACCACCTGTAATTGGATAGCATTAGATTACTTTTTACCGTGAAACAAATGTTTGATCTTGAAATCATGCCCAGAGTTTATTTTATGTGGAGATTGCCACCCACAATTTTTAAACCATAAAGAAAATGCTGTGAGAATTAACAAGACAGTGATATGGATGTGTGGCTGTGTATCTGGCATTAGGAACAGAAGTCTTTCAATATCTAGTTAATGTTTGCTAAGTCTTGACAAGTCTAAGCAAGGAGATCCTCAGTGTCCTTTTATTTGCCTTCCCACGGAAAAGCACATCCAGGTCATCTACTACAGTTCAGAAGTTTTAATTATAATTAGCTATTCTTGACTTATACTATTGTTTCTGTAAGTGCAAGTGAGGACAAGCTATAAAATTTTGCAATACAGGTGTTCCCTTCCAAAAATTTTAAACCTTACTTCTTGTCTGTTTTTCTTTTCTCCTAAGGAGATCAACTCATTTTGCAGTCGTTTAAGGTCACTTTTGAGACGTCCACATTCTCTCTCAGCAAGGGCTTTAAAGTGTTGTTCAGTTTCAATTTCATTCTCTCTGGCTCTGTAAAGATACTGCAGAATAACAAATTTCAGCATTTTACAATAAACAAAAGTTATATATCAACAAACAAACATTTTTCCACATACAATCGAATCCCAAGTCACAGATGGTGTGATTTCACCGTGTAAATGTAGGAATTTTTAGAGAAACTTTATTGTTTGGATTTTAGTATCTCAAATACATGTATTCTTATATTTACATATATATATACACACATGTACACACATTGTATCAAGTATCCACAGATCAATCATTTATAGCCCTAAAAACTCAAAGATTTTTCACCAAAGATTCAGAAATCTTAATCTTTCAACCTCAAAATCTTAGAATCTTAGTCTCTTAATCACTAGTGACTTTACATCACATTCAGCAGGTACAGCAAAATAAAATAAAAAAAAAAAATTTGTTGTTTTGGGATGAGACAGACCTCCACCAGGCTGGCCTATAGCAGTACCTCTGTGTTGTCTAATCTTTTTTTCTTCTAATTCAAATTAAAACTTGAATCTGGCACACAAAAAAATCCCAAACATTAAGACGTTATTCAGCTGCAGGGAATAAGAGTTTTTCACCTAGGATATTTTACCTAAAGGGCATAAAGCTTTGGCTCCAGACTCTTTAGAAATCTAAACTACCCATTTTGGCCAATTAACTCAGCGTATAAGTGGAGACTTACACTTTAACCATCTCACGTCATTTTTCAGGTCTGTAAATTAACTCTTCACTAGCATTTCACCACTAATTCTTGACCATTATAAAGATTATAAATTTGTTCTTCCCATATACTGATGTTTTGTTTTCCTTGATCAATTTTTTCTTAATAATTTCAAAAGCTCCCATTCATGAAGGATTCTAAAATGTATCCTCCTTGGCTTTCTTCTAGGTACATTCATTTGACCTAGGGCGATCTTCTTAATAACCATCAAATAATATCACTCAGATATACAGTTTAATTTTTGGTTTTTGTGGAAATCCTGGGAAAAAGGACGAAAAAAATCTCTAACAAAGCTGGCAAAATGTACAGGGATACCAGCCACAGAGAGACACTCAGGTTTACAAGTCTGTCTGATAAAGATCAGCTTGTGGTGGTGATTTACCTGAGAGAAGCTTAAGTCTTGTTTCACGTTTTTCAAATGAGCCGTCATTGCTTCTATGCGCTCCTGGAAGTTGGTCAGCTCATTTCTCAGGTTCGCTTTTTCCTTTTGCATCTTATGCAACTGTTTAAGATCAGAATCGCCAAGTGACTATTTGCAGCTGAGCCCTTATTACGTGCAACTACTTAAGGATAAGTCATTGCGATTATTAATCAAAAAACGTAAGAAGCACACGCTACGTTCCTCCAAAGCATTGAAATGAGAGGTTTCAGGAGAAAACCTCGAGCTTTGCTAAGGGACCGCACAGATCCCGCTCCTCCTCCCGGGGGGCTCGGGGAATGCGGGTCCCACGCTCGGAGGGAGGCTCTCCCTCCCGGATCCCCTCCGCAGCTCCGCGGAACTCGTAGGTTTTCCCTCCATCCCTCCCTCCCTCCCCGGCCGCGGGGTCAGGCGGGCTCCGCTCCCTCCGGGCCGCAGCCCCGCGCTCACTTCGTTCTCCAGCGCCTTGTTCTCGGCGTTGGCCACGGGCACGGCGTAGGCGCTGTTCCAGCCGAGCTCGGCCAGCACCGAGGCCGTGGAGGAGCTGTCCAAGTTCTCCATGGCCGCGAAGGTGCCGCGCTGGGCCGGGGCTGTGGCGGCGCTGGGCCGGGGCTGTGGCGGCGCCGGGCGCTTGGCAACGGGCGGCAGCGGGAGGCGACGGCGCCTCAGGCGGCACCGCCCCCGCACCGGCCGGGCCGGGCCGGGGGCACCGGGCGGGGACAGGCCTGGGCTCGGTGCCCGCAGGAACGCGGCTGTCTGCGGGTCACGGGGGCCTGCGGCCGGTTACTGGGTCCGCAGAGGGGGGTGTCAGACTCAGAGCCATTGGCAGAGCCTCAGAGCCCCCTGGGCTCAGCTGCTCCCTGCCAGCGCCAGCCCGAGCCACGGCTCTGTGGGGTCCGGAGTCACACAGCGGGACAGCTCAATCTGCTGCTGGTGACACCAAATAGTTCTGGGGTCACACAGCGGGACAGCTCACCTGCTGCTGCTGGTACCACATAAGAGCGGTCTGGGAGGGTACACAGTGTGTGTCCTGTTTCTGAACTATCTTCACAATTAACAGGTGGGTTCCCGAGCCAGACTGTGTTCAGGTGACCATAAACACTAATGCTGTGTCCGTATGAACTTGGATGTTACCTTTTGTACCCATCTGTGTTGCTGGGCTGCAAATAATGTGTCTTTGAGCTCCACCATTCATGGATGGAGACAGGAACACCAGTCTTGGGAGGAATCATAGGATCACGGAATGGTTTAGGTTGGAAGGGACCTTAAAGACCATTTAGTTCCAACCCCCCTACCATGGGCAGGGAAACCTTCCACTAGCCCAGTTTTCTCCAAACCCCATCCAGCCTGGCCTTGAACACTTTCAGAGATGGGGCATCCACAGCTTCTCTGGGCAAGCTGTGCCAATGCCTCACCACCCTCACAACAAAGAACTTCCTCCTTATATCTACTCTGAATCTATTCTCTTTTAGTTTGAAAATATTCCCCCTTGTCCTGTCATTACATGCTCTTGTAAAAAGTCGCTAAAAAGAGGAAGCGTAGTCTTGATGGAGAAACCCTCTGTTGGTGACTATTGTCTGGCTGAAGCATCTGAAAAGACATTAAAGGAATTAATCAAAGCATGATTAAAAAGTGCCTTGCAATAAGCACTGGTAAATGGCTGGAAGATGGTTTGGAGGAGCAAGGAGTTTGCAGTGAGGTTTGTTACACAGCATGAGCCCATGGTATATTAGCAACACTGCCCATAGCAGAAGACACTGATCTTGCTAGATATCTGCATGTGGTATGGGGTATTTTCAGAGAAGAAAATTGCTCAAGAACAGTGAAAGTCAGTCCTGATAAGAAGGGACCAAAATGGTGACTTGCAGTGTTGTGCAGATTATTGCTGTTCGCTTCCCCTGAGAAGAGTCCCACATTATTGTTACTGAAGTATTGAAAGAAAAAATATGAACAATATGTGGAGGCAACAGTTTCTCAAAAACAGAGGAATGGTACAGAGTTCAGTGCCTCAAGCTACCTGTGGAAAAAATACAGACCTTGTGAGGAAGATCTTTTTTGCCCCTGTTGTCTTACCTGGCATGGTGGGCTGTGGATGCTTATAGGATGTGCTGAATAATATTTTTGACCTGCTGGAGGGTCCATGCCAAGAGCCAGGTATTGCAGAGCGCAGTGAGCTGACCTGACTGAATGAAAAGGGGGAATTCCAAAGACACTACAAGCTACTAGAAAGATGTCGGAGACTACAGTGGCACATCACTGTGTACACAGTAGCAGCCCCTCCCTTTCTTACCCAAAATGAGAACCTCCTTTTACTCACTGTATGTGAAACATAAATGCAATGTGCCTTGCATAGATTTTAAATTAGCACCTGTAATTCAATGTGGCATTGCAGTGATGAGCACCTGATAATCTTGAGTTGAGCTTGTGTGTAAAATAGCACAAGACCATGTAGTGCCTGAGAAGAAGAAAGCAAATTATCAGATAGCTGTTTGTTATTAGGTGAGCAGGCAGTCCTGTTCACTCAGCAAGGCTTCCAGTGAAAAATGGTGATTTATAATCACATGCCATAATGTGTATGTGCAAGAAACCTAATTAAATCAATCTTGATCCAGTTATTTAACACACATACCAAACTTTTGAATTTTTGTAATCATAAACTTTCTGTTCATGTTTTTGTGAGTGCAGATTTATACATAGTGTCTGAGAAGTATAAAGTGTTATATGAGTCAAGAGTATTAATTCACAATTTTCATGGAAATTCCAGCCCTTCAGTTTCTCTTGCCTGACCCTGACTAAACAAATCTCCATTATATGCTTTTCTTTGTACGGCTTTTCCCCTCTCCTGCCTGTGGTAATATGTTGTGCAAATGCAGAACTGTTTGCCAGCCGTGCTAATCCACCAGATGGTGCTGCGTGTCTGTGGATTTCAGGGGGGTTTTGTTGGTGTGTCTTAAAACAGCAGCACTTATCAACTCCTCAGTTAAGAGGGAATATATAATTCCTATTCCTAAATATATATATACACACAGAAGATTGATTTGTTTGTTTGTTTGTTTGTTTTTAAATTCTAGCTCTTATTTTTAAAGGTGTTAGAGAAACAGAAGTACTTGTAACAAGCTATTTTCCTCCTAACATTCCTTATAGATTCAATTTTCACTTATGTAGATTGCTGTGCCCATTTGTTCAAACTACCTAAATATAAACCCACTGGTTCTGTCGTTTAAAGGACTTACAGCTCCTCTTGTTCCTGCTAAAAAAAATAAAAAATCATTTTTCTTTATTTGTTTATACCCAAGCTCCTTAAATGATTATCTGTGTGAAAATAAATATTTAAATTATGATTTACTTTCTAATAAGTGATATTTTTGTTGTTTAAAATACAGGTAAACATTTTTTCCTGACTGTACATCTGAGCTATCTACTGAAAAAGACTAATTTAAAAGGTTATTGGATTATTTATAACTAACCCAGTGTAGCCAGTTAGTTTCATTTAATCACTGTTTGTAATAAATTTCCCATGTGAATCTGCAAGTCACAGGGTGTTTGATAATGGGATGTAATGGCCCACACTGTATCTTTTCTTTCAGATGGGTGCAGACACAATGGAAGAAACAAAAATGGGAAGACATTGAGGGGACCGCACAAGTCAGTGTGAGATCAGAACATGTAGAAAGTCTGAAGGGTGGAGGATCTTGCATGGTAATCACTTGTGTATTGATTAAGAATCTCATGTCTATATTGAAATCTGGATCCTGACTGAGATAGGAGAAACACAGTTGCCTAAAAAGGAGAATTGCACATCATCCAGGTCTGATATGTTATCAGTGAATGATATAAATTGACAGCAATTTAATATACTGGTATTAGGGGAAAAAAACCAAACCAAAACAACAACAATTTTGAGCCAAAATGAAATACCTCTGAAGTTTGAGGAAGTTTAAATTTGTCAACAGTAGGTTCTCTTTGGCCTGTTCTCTACTTTTTGTGTAGTTGTACTGGCAAAGGCTGTGGTTCTACTGGTACAGCCCAGTGGCTTTTGTGTGGTGGAGGTGGGTGCAGAGGAGAAAAAACCATCCTTTTGCTGCGATATTCATTTGAAAAGCTACTATAAAACATTGTGACATAAGGTGATTTATTTTTACTTTTAGGACCTGAGTTTCCACCAAGCCCTGCAAGGGGCTGTGACAGCAATGCCTTTGGGGCAGGCAGAAGTGATTGGTGTGGGGGTCTGTGCAGCCCCTCCGGGCACTGCCTGGCAAAGGGCGCTGCTGTGGCTGCCCAAGAGCTGCCCGGTGGGTTGGGATGTGCGTTTGCCAAACACTGCTCAGAAAATGTTCATGTAAAACCATTACCAGGTTTTATTTAATAACCTCCTAACCCTCTCTCTCTCTCCTCCTCCTCCCCTCTGTTCCTCTAATGCCTTTTACAGCTCTTGCTGCACAGCGTGAAGCCTTAGAGCTGTATTCATCAATGACTCACACCCTTGCTTAGGGGCCAATTTTCATGGAAGCTATACAGGAAAATTTTGAAATGCACCTATCTCATGCAGGGCACAAGATGATTTCTCTATTCATTACTATTCCAAAAGGACTTGTTGTCCTTTGGAAATGGTCAGATATTGCTTACATTTGTGTGTGCATGCATACGTATGCAGAGCTAACTTGCCTTTAGATTTGAGTGGTCTAAAAATAAAAATGTATTGTTATTATCATTGACACCAGTCAGCTGAAAGGCAACTGAGGGCCTGCTTACACTGAGTGGAAGCAGGCAAATGCAAAAGAAAATGCAGCAGTGTGCTTTGGGTGAGCAAATCCTACAGACTCAAGCACAAAACTTGTTAAAGATCATCCTTTTGTTTGATGATATGAGTATCAGCCTTCTGAGGAATTTGGGAGTAAAGCCACGGACTTACTCCGAGAAACCAAACTGCACTTTTGCCTCCAGAAGTTTTTTATGTAGGTCATGGTCGTAGTACATTTCTAAAACACCACAAGAAAACATGTTCCTTTCCTTTAAGACATCACATGTTAACTCAAGTTTTAAACTCTGGGGAGGAGATAGAGGTAAAATTATTAGCCCAAATGACCTTTTGGTTTAAAACCCACATGATAGAAGCGGAATCTTTACTGCAAAATTGCCAGTTATAGAATAATTGCATTCTCAGGGGTTGCTAATTATATCCAAAATTACATTAAACAGTTTTGGTGAAGGGACTGAGACTGCTTAGCATAAAGCAGTTTATTTACGCATGTACAAAGTAGCTTACATCCCTAAGGGATTAAACTAATTGCAATATTTTACTGTGAGTTGTAAAAATTGTGTCATGCAATGATGAATCAGAACTTGTAGGAAAAAAGAGGGCAAAATACACTTTTGCTTTTCATAATTTTTCCAACAGGCATTTCAGATCATAATTCTAAAAATAGCTTTTTCCTTCTCTTTGTTTCTTAAACAGAATGGAAAAAATCCCTTTCTGCAGCTCAAGCCCATCCACTGACATTAATTTTTGCCTTCAGTCTGCTCAGGTGAGTTCCTCAAGAATGTGTTAGAGACCAGATTTGTTTTTTCCTTATTTGTGGATGTTGTTTTTCCAAAGTGAATTATGCTAACTTTTTGCTTGGCAGATAAGTCCTGTCCATGTTAAGATGTTGTAATGAGAGAGCATTTTCTTACAAGAGTGCATAAAATTACCAAGCTCCACATGTACGTTACACAAATCAGGAAAATTCATGACCCTGTCAGAGCCAAAAAATAGGCAGAGTCCTGTGAATGCAGTAGCATGATCCTTGTTTCAGAGATGACAAAACACAGGTGAAAAAAAGAGGTTAAGTGAATTCCCTCACATTGCCCAGAATACAAAGTAGGAAATTAAAATTTTTTTCTTTGCCTTTTATTCTCAGGCACAACTTTAGTACTTTTATGAAGTAATTGCTGTTTTGTTTACCTGGGTAGCCTCTAAATTCTTCCTTTGCAAAGTCCATTGGTGCTGTAGAGAGTGTGTAGGGATTGTAAATGTACTCCTAAGTAGCATTCCACAGTTGAACTAATTGCCAGGCCAAGCAAGAGACCACAGTAAAGGGGTGAATAATTTGATCCAAGATGGATTTGTACTCTACCAGCACAGCCTGAAATCTTCTAATGCTTTTGGATTTGATTGTGAGCTGTTCATTGTTGTTTGAGCCTGTTCTGTTCTATTACCATATTTTCTCTGGATATCATTTCTGTGTACCTTATCTTTGTATAAAAGACCACATCTTTACCATATTTCCAGGGAGTAGTCAGTAGAGGCATACAAAATTTACTGCTGTAGACCAAAGTAAGACAGATAAAGGTAGCGCATTACAAAGTTCTTGCCCTCAATCATGCAGAAGGCTCTCTATGCTTCTGTGAGCAGTGGTACCTATGGGGCTGCACTGTAATGGGAGAAGGGTTAACAGCAAACCAGGACATTTTCTGCAGCAAAAGAGATGGAATCTTCTCTAAGCAATTACCTTTTATGTGATAAACAATGTCAGTGGTCAATAGAGGGAGTTTTCTTACCCTAATCCCCTTCTATTAGCTTAAAATAGAAATGCTATTAATTTGGCTAGCAGGTTGGGGTATCATGAAGCCTGGTCATACCTGTTTGCATGTTACATTTATCTGCCAGCAGAAGGGTTACTGCAGTAGCCTTTGTCTCTGCTTTCCTTAAATAAAAAACAATACACTAATAAATGCATGTTACAGCTTCAGTGGTGGTGGGTGCTTTTGTGAGACGTGTCTATTGGCACGCTGCAATCTTTTTGGAATACAGAGTGCACTGCTATTTATTACACATTCTGTTGGCATCATGAAGTCGTAAGTAGCTTCTCCTGTACTTTTAGCTTCTACTGACTCTGAAAATCCAGCTTTAATTACTAATGGGTATTTTACAAAACAATTTCCTTCTGGTAAAGGATGGACATAATCTGTTATCATTAGATATCAGCTGGCACTACACATAGCTTGTGCTTTGACCAACCCTTAGGGAAGGGGAGGTTTGATAAAAGAGAAAAGCCAAAAGCCATTATATGTATTTAGGGTACTGAAGAATTTAAAGATTACAACAGCATATCTGTTTGAAGATATGAGCTGTGACTTTCAATGGATGTGATGTTCCTCATGGATGTGGTGAGATGTGACAGAATGGCCACACAGCTGAGTATTCCATAGCTGAGTAGCCCTCAGCTCAGTTACAGGACACAGAAAAATCAGAGTTTCAAGGCAGCGTGCTTATAGCTTTCTCTGTCTATTGTTCTTTCTAGTGGAGGGCAGCTACTGTGATCTCTTTCCTGACCATCAGGGTTTTTTGTGTCTTCTTTTTTACTTCAGAAATACATTTATTTGAATCAGAATTGAACTAAAAAAATAAAAATGGGGCACAACATTTGAAATATAGAAAGTCCTACTTAACATTGTGAAAGGTTATATGCAAAAGTAGTGAAAACTGCAAATGCATCATTTTTATTTTTTATTTTAATATTGTTTTCCTTTTGTTTGTTTTTTTTATAACTTTCTATATAAACAATGTAATGATAAAGCTAGGGCAGTGCCATGGAAGGCCAGAGGGCTTGCAGTTACAGGAATCTGATCAAAGAGAAGAACCTTAGGCTGGCCTTAGCCACAGCCATTCCCAGCTCTTTGCTGAAGTCTGAAGCAACTGCAATTTCTTCTGTTCCCCACTTCTGTCTGTGAACATTCAGTCTTGAATCCTGCTCCTTCTGGCTCATAAAATCTTGTGTCTGTAGAAAGTTTCTTAATTTTCTTGGTTTTCTTTACTATCTAGAAATTTCAGCAAGCAAAAATTTCTACTTGATACTATTCAGTGCTCCAGAAGGAGGGTGTCTATTGGTCTAAACTACAAACTTTACAGTGAACCAGATCCTTAGCTAGAAAAAAGCACAGAGCTCCCCTGAACCAACAAACCTATGCTACAATTTACCTGGTGCAGACTGTGAACTGCAGGAATTCAACATGGAAAATGCCATTGTAAGAGTGTGAGAAATGCATGTAACCCAGCAAAAGTACCTTTATTCTGTCCCAAGGGCAGGATCCAAGGATTCTATCTGCATTGTAGTATTTCTGGAATTTCTTCTGCTTTCAACAGCCAACAGTTACAAAATCTTACATCTGTATATTATAGTTGGAATAGTCCAATGTACATTTCTATGGAGGCATGAAAAATTATACATTCCCTGTCAAACTTACAATGAGGCTATCAAGTGTTTTGTGCGGGGAGATCAGATGGCCCCAAGACTTGTTGCTTTGCTTAGTATTTGGCATGGAGTGTCACCATCTTCATGCAGTAGTTACTTGATATCTCTAAAGTGTATATTTGCTGTCATGTTACTGCTGTGGGTATAGTAAAATGCTATATAGGACATAGCATAATCTTGTTTGATATTATGATCCTGTAATTTTCTTTGAAAAGATTAATCTTGTAAATACTGTAAATTTATATTAGTAGTCGCAGTAAGCTGTTTAAGGTTTATGTGGAGCAGCATTATTTATATTTATAGTCAGTGACCCTGATACCTTGTACTTAGAGTTGAGATATTTTTATGTTAATTTGTTTCTTTATTTCCTTGGCCTTGGCTAAAAGAACCCCAAACATTATTAGACTTTTGATTTTCAAAAGATCTTCCAAACTACATATATCTATAACCTACTCATAGATTTCAGAGGTATTTTAACACTTATTGCCGTTTCATATTGCCATTTAAGTCATTAGGAGGTGAGTAAGGTACACCTAGAGATACAAAACATTATCTATGAATCAGCCTCTTTGAAGTGTATTTCATTGCTGCATCAGTCATTGCAGAGAAAGGTTCTGAGCCCACGAGTACAGATGAAAATATATACAATCCTTTTAAAAGGTAGAATATTTGAATTTAGGTTGCAAAATAGAGAGTTACATGAAATTATCACTCCTGTCATGTCAGCTGAAATATCAGAAATTCCATTTCTAATCCCCTCCATGTAATATGGCACGGGGACATAGATACACATCAGCCATAAAGAGAGACAGTACAGCCTTTCCAGCAGACTCCGCAGGCTGCCTACAATTCAATCCCCCTCCTCCAGCCCCTCCACCCACTGGTTGAGCCTCTTGTTGCCCTTCCAACACCTGAGACAATGGAGGGGAGGGCAGGAGCAGTGTGGTAAAAAATTAGGCACTGCAGACAAAAACTTGACAGATTGTCTTGCTCCCAATGTCACAATATGAACTGGCCTGGTAAAAAGTAGTGGCCATTATCCCATCTCACTGAATGACTTAAATGACCTACATCCACATGCAGAGAAAGTTCTTTGGACTACTTCCATGGAGTTTTTTTTTAATTTAATTTGCATGATAAGATGTACAAGCCAAGGTTTTTACAGTTTAAACAGCTTCATTTTTCTCTGACTCCTGTATAAAGTATGGATAATTTCACCGGAATCACTGGAGTAACTTCATTATCAAACGGATGTTGCGAAAGCACTTTCACAGTCCTTAGGCAACTTTCCAGTTGTTGCTTCTGTATGCTCATGGTGAGCTGCTATTTACATCTTCCCTAAGGCTGGGGTTTCTTGGCACACTGGGCACTCATCCAGCAGTGTGTATCTGGTGTTCTCAGGAGAGATGGTCCTTACAGATTGTGTCAGTGTTGTACAGGACATAACTCGGGTCAACACCCAAGATTCTTATGCACCCAAGCAGCTTCTATGTTGGCAACTATCTGGAAAATGTAGTACAATATTGTATTTGCACCTTTACAAACGCTGCCTCAGGTTCAGTTGAATGTTTTGTCTTTGATTTTCCAGGCTGGTACCTATATCCTGGGTTGCTGGACACACCTCTCATTCTTACCTTTGTCAGAAATCCTGTCTTGGACTTAAGATACTTTTCTCTCTGAAAGTTTCACTAAAATTGGTAAACTCCTGTGAAAAGTTTCAATTCTGAGAAGAACAGTTTTCCTGAGGAATTCCCAGCAAGTTCTTTACAAAAGTTCTGGTAAAAGCAACTGTTCTCTGTCTCCATGTCCAGTTACTCCTGCTAATTTGAAAGCATAGCCATGGGCTTGAGAACAGCTCAATGAGCAGAAGCAGCCAGAGGCTAAATGTAAGAGGAGAGGAGAGGGACCAAGAGCTGTGCAAAGCTGCAAATGTTGTATCACACAGGAATTTGAGGCACCAAGCCTGGCTATCTCCTGTTGTGTCCCACAGCTTCTGTAACCTGACCTGAACAGTAAATCCTCCAATTACTTACAATTGAGGCCATACACTTACACGTGTACAAAAGCTAGGAGAAGGTTGCTTATACCTGGTCAACCAGTTGCTGTTAGTGTGTAAAGCTGTTAAAAAGCACACGTGGAGCAGCCACAAACATGATATTCTTCCTGGGCTTTTCATCTGCCATCCACACTAACTGCCAGCTGGAGTGCCCATGGACAATGTGTGTGTTGTGTTTGGAAGACCTTCCAGCACATTAGGGCACAGCATGTACTGAGCATAAGGTTTTCTCTGG